GGGAAAGCAGGGCTGTATAAAAATCATCTCTCAGGCTATATTGAGAAGTACTTGCTTTTCACTGTAAAGTTCTTCTCTGTAGAGTTACGCTAGCAAGAGTTCTCCCTTCTCTATCTGTGTTTAAATCCAGTGTTATGTAAACAGAGAATATTTGCATGTATCTGAGGGCAGCAAAAGCTGATTAAAGCTAGACGCCACAGAGTTTTCTGAGTGCAAATGTGGTGTAATGTGGCTTTTGAGGCCTGTCTGTGGCTTTAGGCCTGGCACAAACTGGGTGGTTTTTTTGGTTCTATGGCTAAACAGAGGGGGAAGGAAGGCTCCAGAAGTGTCTGAGCCAGGAGTGGTCATATAAGCACTCAGTTCACTGAAAATAAATGTATATATGAGAAACAAAATACCCAAGAATTTACACAGTAAAGAGTGAAATTTGTATGTAGTGAGGGAGCTGCTTGGTGAAATGATGCAGGATACTTGGCTGGGCTGTTTCCTGTAGTAAGCTTCCCTTTTAGGCTAAAACAATGTTAAATTTGTGTTAGATGATTGAAAGAATTTTCTTGTCTTGCTGGTTGGTGAACAATAAACATGACATTATCTTTTCAGATGCTCAGTGTCTCATGTTTTGTAAATTACTTAGGTTGCAAAATGAAACGACAGCCAATGAAGTTCTTGCAAGCATTCAAAACTACTTCAGAGCACAGCCCTTTGAATTTAGGGGTGCAAAAATCATAACTGGGCCAGAGGAAGGGGTGTATGGATGGATAACAGCCAACTATTTAATGGGCAATTTCTTAGAGGTGTGTGGAAAAACCTGCATGCTTTTCTTTTCACTCTTATTTTTTGTTATAAATGAAAAGTTTTAGAGGAGATGCCTGTTAAAACATCATAGCTATAACTTCCATTTCCCACTGAAGTATAGAACTTTTTTTGTGATAGTTATGGAACAAAGCAAACAGATCAAAGAATATGATGTGACAGGAATGTGATGTGACAAAGGTAAAACTGTTCATCCAGTGAACTGAACTCTTCCCTAAATGACCAATCTAATACCTTTCAGAGAAACAGAAGTTGTATTACTCTTAAACCTATTGGTAGAGTTAAAGTATGACAACCATTGACTTTGTTCACAGTGGTGCCAATTAAAGATGTTCTTACCCACTTTTCTGTGACTTATGCAGGTGGTTGCTGTTTCTGTAGCTCTACTGGTGAAGGGACTGTGTTGCTTAGGGGTCTCCAAGCCATTAGGCAAAGTTGGCTCACTTGCGTAAAGCAGACAGTGAAGGTGGTTGAGTAGGCGTGGCCAAACGTGCCTCAGCTGAGCCAGAAATCACTCATGTAGTCCATTCTAGTATTGCTGAAAAACTGCAGGTTATGAGCGGTGTATTGTGATAACAACTGTCCTATCTAGACTTGAGAGAGGATGTTGGTTAATGGGTCCTCCTGTTTTGTGTGGACAAAGCTATACCAGCATAAAGATACTTATGCTGCTGCTTAAACTCAGAGTAGCATCAGGCAGGTACTTCATAGTGGAGAGGGAATAAAATGTATTGGAAAAAGATCCCTTTTTTATATATAGATGCTCAGTTTAACTTCATCTGCTGTAAAAACAGTACCAGGACATCAGCAACTACTCGTCTGCATTCATGGCAGTTGTGTGCTGCCTTTAGTGTTTACTGCCTTTCTTCCAGATAGTCTTGCTAGGTTGAAAGAAGATTCACCAGACACTTGAGTATTGTAAGCTGTCCTGGTTGAGCAGTTCCTATTAGATCGTGACAATTTATAAGCAGGAATTAGATGTTGGTAATCTGAGTGATAGCTCATGGTGAATGCGTTGTTTTCTCTCACAAAGTTTAAAAATGACTACACGTTCTGGGCGAGCTTTTCCCACTCTATGCATTTCATGCCACAAAAGCAACTTGAACTTCAGAGTGGTGTCAAACAGTCTTCTGTTAATGACTAAAATCTCAAATTCCGTATGGTGGATTCATAAGGATTTTTGAAGGGACTGCAAGATGTTGTAAAGCCAATTTAGTATACAAAACTGGGTGTTGAATATCACAAGTGGGAGAGAGAGACTTTTAAGCATTCTTATGATAATGGGCTAAGAGGGAACTTTTGCCAGGGGCTGTTAATGGGAATCTTTCACTGTAGGTTTTTCTCATGGGTATGTTTGGTAGCCCATAAATTCTTTTCTTCCACCTTATGTATACATTCATATTATCATCCTCAGTAAATAATGTTACAGTAAATATGGAGATGGATAATCTTACAAAAAATATACTCTGCACTGTGATCGTGTAGATCAAATACAGATTTTTTTTTGATGCGTCTGGGTAATCTGGAAGACTGCTAGCTAAATGGACCAGGCTTATTGCCGCTGTGGTTTCAGTGAAAGAAATACGCAGATTAGGAGTCCATGTTCTGTATTAGAACCGAGGCTGGTTTGAGGTTATTGTTGTCCATTTACTTCCAAATATAAAACCCTTCATGGAGGCTTTGGATAGACTCTTGCTGGTAGAAATTGGTAGAGTACCTTTGATTTTGATGACGCTTTTATTTGACTCTTCATTCTTTTCTTCTTCTTTATCTTGTGTGATCTCTTAATATTCTGTTCCATTAGTAATTATTCTTGCCTTGAAACTGGCAAATGGTCATACTAATTTGGTCCAGAGGATAAGTGACTACTGTCTTCATTTTACAGATGGAGAAGTTAAAAGAATTGTTCAAGTTCTCACAGGTACCTAGACTTCAGTTCCTTGCATTCTAATGCAGGTTTTGATCTGGCTAGTTCAGTGCTTTGATCATTGTGCTGTCACAGAATCACAGAATTAAGTGACTACTGTCTTCATTTTACAGATGGAGAAGTTAAAAGAATTGTTCAAGTTCTCACAGGTACCTAGACTTCAGTTCCTTGCATTCTAATGCAGGTTTTGATCTGGCTAGTTCAGTGCTTTGATCATTGTGCTGTCACAGAATCACAGAAT